GGGCGCGCTCCACTCTCCTCCGCGCTCCTCTCGCCCTTGGAATGAATTCCGGCTCCACTTGTCGCTCGGCCCAGGTCGGGGAGAGGACGAGGGTGGCGGCGGGGGTCCCAAGTGAATTCCCACCGAGGGACCTAGCACTGTGCGAACTAGAGGGGAGCGAGGGGGTGCGGGACACGAGCGAGCAGGAAGGAGGCAGCGCGCCTGGCACCCGGGCTTTGACTCCACAGCCTTGAGACATGTTTGTAATCGCTGGCGTGCCCCGCGCGCAGGATCCCAGAGAAATCAGATTTCCTGGTGAGGTTGCGTGGGTGGATTAATTTGGAAAAAGAAACTGCCTATATCTTCTCATCAAACAACTCACGGAGGAGAAGCGCAGTCCATCGACAGTAGACCTAAGAGACCCGGATGCTTCCGTTGTTTAAACTTGTGTGCTGGGGAATTATCTGAGAGGCAATAAACATCTGCTCCTTTCTTCCCTCTCCAGAAGTCCACTGGAATATTAAGCCCAGGAGTTGCTTTGGGGACGGCTGGAAGTGCCATGTCTTCCAAGTTCTTCCTAATGGCTTTGGCCATATTTTTCTCCTTCGCCCAGGTTGTAATAGAAGCCAATTCTTGGTGGTAAGTTCATTCTATGTGCATATATTTTTTTAAAAGATACATTTGTAGGATGCTGCGATATTTAAAGCTAAATCACGAGTTTGGGTGCATTTATCTAATACACATATAATACATTTTTTTATTTGCATGTATTTTTAAATAAGAACTTTCTTTTCAGTTGCTAATATTGGTAAGCTTATCTTTAGCTCCCTAGGGAATCAGAGCTTATAAAGCTAGGCCTTTTTCTATGAGGCCCTTGTTCCGATGTGTGCTCCTAGCACATCATATCATAAAAGGGAACCAAAAGTCTCTTCTCTAATCACCGAAAGCCTATCTATAAATTTTACGTTTTGCCACCTCTAGGTAGTAAAAGTGAGTTCCAACTTTTATTTTTCTGTCACTTGAGGTTATTAACCTTCAGGGTCTACTGTAGGGAGAGTTCTAGGAAGACAGCTGAACTTCAAGTCGAGAAGTATTTGGGCTCAAAATTCGGTCAAGAAAAGGTGAACTTGAAGTAGTCCAATGGCCCTGACTGAGAGGGTTTCTTTCTGGCAGGGCCCTGGAAGATAGGCTGCAGTATATCCAGAGGATTATTTTTGACGGCGTTCTGGATATTTTTCCCTGTGAATGAGCAGTGTTTTTCTGACTGTCAAACATGACTGCTGTTCACTGGATACCCTGTCTTGGGTCCTTCACAATCATATATAAGGAGCCCTTTTAAGCTGTCCAGAGCATGGTGAAGTTTCTCCCGTCTACATACTTGTCCCACTGTTCTTCCATCAGTCAAAAGGAGCTGCTCTCTGCCACCCGTGTCTAATTGTGTCTACTTTCCTCGGCATTCATACATTTTTTCAAGGCAGATCGGTCCAATTTGTGGGGCAAAGTGAGTCACTTTCTCTAAAGTCAGAGATTTGTCCCGAAACCGCTGTGTACCTCTTTTCTGAGTGGGTTTCGGAAATACTGGTTCAGGTATATGGCAGGGGTAGGGCCAAGGAAGGGAGTTAAAAACTCTGAGGGGCCAGATGGCGGGATGGGGACTACACAATACCTCCGTTTTCTGAGTGGAGCTGAAACAGAGGAGTTTTATGAAGCCCTTCTCATACTTTGTCATGAGGACAAGCAGGAGAGAAAAGCATCTGTGTGCTTAGAACTATGTCTTGCTGACATGCTTTCTGGGGGCCCACCTCAAGAGTTCACGTAAATCTTAAAGGCACATCTCCCCCCCACCCCTTTCCAGGTCGCTAGGTATGAATAACCCTGTTCAGATGTCAGAAGTATATATCATAGGAGCACAGCCTCTCTGCAGCCAGCTGGCAGGACTCTCTCAAGGACAGAAGAAACTCTGCCACTTGTACCAGGACCACATGCAGTACATTGGTGAAGGCGCGAAGACGGGCATCAAAGAATGCCAGTATCAGTTCCGGCATCGGCGATGGAACTGCAGCACTGTGGATAACACCTCCGTGTTTGGCAGGGTTATGCAGATAGGTAGGAGACCACTTAACATATTTTTAAATATATATATATATAAACTTTTCTCCTAGAAAAAGTCCTTAGTGTTTACTGACCAGCCTGATCCCCAGGGAATCTTCCCGCAGAATAGTGGCTTGGGGATTTGTATCCTTATTGCTACCTGTGTTAATTCCTGGTCCCACACTCCTTTTTTACCTTCTGGACTTACTTCACCCAATCAGGAGGGGAGCATCTAAGACGCCATTATTTTTTCTGAACGTGTAATTTTTTTAAAGAAACATTTTGGTTACAATAGAAGCAGCAGGCTTATTTTGGTTTCTCAAAAGTAGAGGAGGAAAGCTGAGTCAGTGATACTCTTTTAAGCTCCAAAACTCTTTTAACTGTTAACGGTTTTCTAACGTAAGCCACAATTCAAATGGCCCAAGCAGCAAACTAAATATTGTCGTCTTTCAGAATGCTGGGTGTGTTGGAAATGAATCAGGTTCTAATTTTCCTAATATAGATAGTCCCTGAGGCTATAGAGATCTATATGTTAAAAGCTTTCTTTTTAGTTCCTGAAAGAATTTTAATGAGAAATGGTCCAATTTACATTTGCGATTTTGGCAATTGATATAAAAGCACATCCTTCATTCAGAACTCAACCTAGCAACTTAAAAGAAAAAGTTTAATTGTATCACTCACAATCCAATTCTTTCTTTTAAATATGTTGTTGAACTTGTTGTTCCATTCAGGGAGGAGATGGCATTAAAATTGGACAAAAGGCAAAGAATTGGACACATCAGTTTACCTCTGGTTTGGTTTAATAGCACAGGGCACTATCTGACAGACTAGGTCCCGTGTGCGTTTTCTAGTGTGACTATTTTAGGTCTCTTTTCTTTTATGCAAAACAGGCCCTTATAATTAATATGACTGCAGTCACTCCTAAAATAAGAAGCAATTTATCAAAGCAATTAACTGTTTATACTGACCGAAGATAAAAAGTTGGCTTAATATCCATCACGGATGGATAAAATGCTTTTTAAAAAAAACCCTGAAAAGTGCATTCATTGAGAACAAAAAAGAGTTGTCAGTGGATGTTTGAGCCAAGCGGCTTCATAAACTAAAATAATACAGGTCTGGAAGCCAGTCCTCTAACTGAATGGGAAAGTGGTCTGAAGCCCCAGCCTGCAAAGTTTCTTAGGGCTTTGTCCTTCCTGTTAATGATTAAAATGCGCTAATGTATATGCTGGATCAGGAGCAGGAGTTCAGCCTCAGGAACACAGTAGTTTTCCCTGAATATAGGCTGCCTTATGTAGGTAACAGGGGGTGTGGTAGAGATTCAAATCCCCTGCATTTTGATGTTGTGAGTAAACTAAACACTTCTATTTAAAGTTCTTTCAGAATGGCATGTCGTCAGCCTTCCCCCCTGACCTTTGCTTACAGAGTGCCCCTAAACTGCCTTCCTCTCAAACTGTGGGGCCACTTTTTCACAAGAATATGAGTTAGCAAAAAAATCACACACCTCTGATGGTAACCAGAAAGGAAAACAGCAGTTGGAACTGTTTTTCTGTGTAGTCACTGGAACACAGCTTTGATTTAAGATCCTCTTCTTGTCTTTATATGTAGCCTGTTTTGGGCCAAAATGTTCAGAATAAGCTATCATTTGCTAAGTGGATTTGAGTTCTGCTGGAGATTTATTTAAAATGTGGTCCAAGATTCAAAGAGCCTGCTTCCTCGGGGAACAAGCAGAACCCTTGTACAAAGGCCTATATTTAATTGTCCCTTGCAAGTACGCTCTCTGGTCCTCAGCTGTGTGGTACTGTCTGTCTGGGTCCATGGGAAGTGGGTGGGACAGCCTCTGAGATAGGATCTCCAAGTCAGCTGCTGTTCTGGGAAGATGCCTTGTCTCCCTTGCCAACAGTTCCCCAGGTGCCTGGGGTCTCAGGGCAGAAAGCTGCTGCTGGGTGGCTTGTGTTACAGCACCAACAGGGCTGGCTCTCTCTCTCTCTCTCTCTCTCTCTCTCTCAAATTTAAAATATATTTGGAGAGAAGAAAAACCAAAATAGCTTTTGGTGGAAGAGGAACATGGACCCAACCCCATCAGTGGGAAAGTGACTTAGTTTTCACTTTTCCATTTAAGGGTACTTTGGGAGGGAAAATGCAGAGCACCTTTAAGAATGAAAGGTGTGTGTGTGTGTGTGTGTGTGTGTGTGTGTGTGTGTGTGTGTGTGTGTGTGTTTGCCTGCTCCAAAGCACTTGGGACATCAGGGACATGGAGAGCAATTCTTGTCCGTGAGAATCTGACCCTGCGATGGGGCCTGTGTCTGAGAAACTCGGGGCTGCCACTTCCAGCCCCCTCCTCAGCTCATTTTTCTAGGGTACCAATGGCCTCGGAGGCACTGTACACAATCGCCTGGTGAAGGGCCCACTCTTCATTTGGGAAACTTGCTCATTTTTCATCATGCTACCCTTTCTTCCAGCCTTTGTCTCCGTCTCTTCTTTGTTTCCATGCTGTGAAAAGATATGTCAGGAAGGCACCATTTTTAAGGAGTGTGAGGATGGGAGAGGGTGTAGGTTCACAGGGAGGGAAAGCCAGGAGAGGCAGCAGTATTCCATCCAGGAAGACTGTAGCCGCAGGCTACTAGCCAAAGAGCCCCTTTCAAACCCACGTTTTCCCTGCAGTGACCACTTAGCTCAGAGACTTCTACCAGGTTCGTATTCTGGGGCAAAAAAGGAAATGCTCAAGATAGACTTGTGAAACAAGCAGCATGATTGTGTTTGGTATAAAAGACCTTTTATGCTTTGTATACTCACAAGACAGGGTCTGACTTTCCGTATCTCTGAAGGATTGTTTATCTCCTCTTCCTCTAGCTACCTCTTTATTCCACAAGCCTCCCATCCAGGGCCACAGCATTTTCTGTATTATGTGTTCATCCTTAAATAACTCCCTAGAATCTATCTTCCCTCCTCATTTCTCTCCACTCCCTCCCATGTTCTCTGCCTCACTAATTCCAGCAAGATAGATGTCACACCCCACAGGAACTTTCTGGATCCTCCTGCCAACCACCAGCACACGCATCAAGTTATTCATTTTTAAAATGTGGGAGGGAAGGTCTGTAGTAAATGGGAACCATCGCCATTCCTGGAGGGGGTGGGGGAGGGGTCAGCAATGGCCATGGATGGAGTTGGAGCAGACGTCCAAGGAAAAGGATGGGTCCTTGAATGGGCACAGGCATCCCCCTGCAGAAGGATGGGGCTGAGTTGTATCGCCACCCCCCTCTGCTCCCCACAAAACACTGTTAGCAAGCACTTGCAGTGTGGGAGAAACAGATTCCTGTACAGGGATTTTAGTGTCGGGAGGGGCTCCCCCCCAGGTTTCTAGTTCAATACCCTGATTTTATAGTTGAGGAAAGTGAGCCCCCCTCATCTTACCCCCAGACCCAGCTTCAGCTGGCCTGGTGTTAACCCTTTCTCCCTCATAGTAGAGATTTTTATTAAGTGGCTCCTGCTATGCGTAGAAATGTCCTCATGTACAAGTGGAGGTCAAGGCAGTCTGTGATGACCTCCGTTTTTCTCCTGACACATAGGGCCCCTGTTTTACAGGGGGAAAGTCTTTGCAAGCTTTAGGGGAGGGGAAACCTGTTTCTGCCCTCAGGTTCGTATATTCTTTACAAGTCTGGGGGAGGAAGAAGCTTTTTTGGTCTTTTCCCTTGAGATTGTGCTTCTGTCTTCTTGCTGTCATTCTAACACTGAGGGACGGGCTGTCAGGGAGTTGCAGAAGTGGCACTGAAGCCCAGCAGGCTGTTTTCATAGTAGACACTCACCTAGAATGAGAAGTATCAGTCCAGTCAGCTTGACATTGAAAAAGAAGCGGCTCATTTATAACTGTCTAGGGATCGGTTTAGAAAATGTCCATTGGGGAAGTCTAGAACAGTGATGGGGAACCTATGACACGCGTGTCAGAGGTGACACGCGAACTCATTTTTTTGGTTGATTTTTCTTTGTTAAATGGCATTTAAATATATAAAATAAATATCAACAATATAAGTCTTTGTTTTACTATGGTTGCAAATATCAAAAAACTTCTATATGTGACACGGCACCAGAGTTAAGTTAGGGTTTTTCAAAATGCTGACAGGCCGAGCTCAAAAGGTTCGCCATCACTGGTCTAGAACCTCATCCTGAGACACACTTAGTGCCGCATGAGGGCGAGGCAACAAGCAGCAGCAGGAGGGGAAGTGAGCTAGAACCAGCGTGGCCACAGTGTGGCTGCTGCAGTGGCTGCCATCCACTGGGGCCTCACACTTTCCGAGGCTCCAAGCCTGGCAACTGCTAGGCGCCTGCATGTGAAAATAATACAAACATTAACATGTATGTAAGGAAGTCTACCCAGATTCTGAGTTTCCCCTCAATGACTTCTTTTTTGTGCATTTTTGGAAATAAGAAGTTTCCAATATTTTAAAAAAGAGTTGGAGAGAAAATCGGGCCAGCACTGTCTAGAATCCTGCCTTTGACTCTGAAAGGCAAGAGCACAGGTATCAGGGATGTGCCACTCCTTTGTTATTTGTTGCTGCTGGGTTATTTGTTATTATTTGGGGGAAATCACGGGGCAGGGGGCGCAGCGCCTGAGAGTATGTTGGGGATGGGGCCCTCCGTGGTCCCAGTCCAGGGGCAGCACGTGTGCGAGCATCTCCACCGCTTCCCCGCCCACATCCTCCCAGGCCAGGGGCTGCGGTGAGGGGGGCTCCCTGCGCAGCGC